TCCAGACCCCTGATCATTTTTGTTGCCCTTCGCTGGACTCTCTCCAATTTATCCACATCCTTCTTGTAGTGTGGGGCCCAAAACTGGACAAGGTACTCCAGATGAGGCCTCACCAATGTCGAATAGAGGGGAACGATCACGTCCCTCGATCTGCTCGCTATGCCCCTACTTATACATCCCAAAATGCCATTGGCTTTCTTGGCAACAAGGGCACACGGCTGACTCATATCCAGCTTCTCGTCCACTGTCACCCCTAGGTCCTTTTCCGCAGAACTGCTGCCTAGCCATTCGGTCCCTAGTCTGTAGTGGTGCATTGGCTTCTTCCGTCCTAAGTGCAGGACCCTGCACTTATCCTTATTGAACCTCATCAGATTTCTTTTGGCCCAATCCTCCAATTTCTCTAGGTCCTTCTGTATCCTATCCCTCCCCTCCAGAGTATCTACCACTCCTCCCAGTTTAGTATCATCCGCAAATTTGCTGAGAGTGCAATCCACACCATCCTCCAGATCATTTATGAAGATATTGAACAAAACCGGCCCCAGGACCGACCCTTGGGGCACTCCACTTGATACCAGCTGCCAACTAGACATGGAGCCATTGATCACTACCCGTTGAGCCCGACAATCTAGCCAGCTTTCTACCCACCTTATAGTGCATTTTGTTTCGTTTAGCTTTGTTTTGTTTGTTTGGCATTTTCAGCTAACATGGGTCAGCTGTTTCCAAGAATGAAAATGGGGGGAAATACATTGTTTTGCCCATGTTAACAAAAATTATTACAACTGCCATGTTGAGAAGCTCTAGCACCTCAATGCTTTTGGAGCAGGGATTTGAAATGTGGCTGGATATAGGGGTGGTGGAGAGGGAAAAGAAATCACACTGGTGCCTTGGGAAAATTCACTCAAATTTGGGTAAATTATGAGTTTTTGAAAAGTCTCAGTTCACAAATGTTCAGTAGAGATCTGTGGAGTTGGGCAGCAAAATTCTTTGAGGATTTTTCTGTCTGCACTGAACATGCTCCATCCGAGGAATGCAGAGACTGAGCAGAACTTTCCCTGTAATTGCTTTTCTTCCAGTTCCTGAGGGCTACAGTGGCCTCAGGCACAGGAAGTGAGAGCAGGGAGACTGTCTTTCCTGTGCTGTCCATACTCCCTCTGCTGACACCAGCGTGGAGAGATGGAGGGTTGGATTTTCATTGTTGCCAATTCTTGCAATTTTATTGTAAATCTTTCAATATTTGCTATTTTTCTTAAAGCCCCAGCTCCTGGAGAGATGGGATTGGGTGAGAATCTCAGTTTTCATTTTTTTTATTTAAAAAAATAGTACATTTTTAGTCCTCATAGTTGTGGCAAAAAGCCTGAAATGAAAATATGATTCAAGTGTGCCCTAAACGCTCAAACGATAGGAGAAATAAAAACATTAAATGAATCTTATGATTTTAAAGCTAATATTTTGATTTTGGGGGGGTCTGACTTATGATTTTTGAACACTTGGTTGGAAATGCTGTTACTCCTACAGAAAAATATGTATATTTTACACAGCTATATTGATCACTTTTAAAATACAATGGGACATACTTTAAAATGTGACTTACGTTTGTCTAATAAAGCAGTTAGAGCCTGCATTTGTTGTGCATCTAAAAGTGGCATACTGAAACTCACACTGACTTCAGTGGAAGGAATGAAGGATTGGGCCCTTAATTGTACAATATTTGTAAAGCATTTTAAAGATGAAGTCATAAACATCAGGTATTCTTCTTGTAATAATAACCCAATTATTTGCATGACCATGTTTGGTTCATTCTACCAATTAAAAATTGTCAGTAAAAAGTCGCTGCAATTAAAACTTAGGAGATTTCAGAATATAATACTTATTCTTATATAGCACTTTTCACTGGTAGTGCTCAGAGGCCCAGATCCTCTAAGGTATTTAGGCATCTAATTCCCACTGAAATCAAGTGGGAATTAGGCAAATGTTATCCCCATTTTATAGATGAAGAAACAGGAGAACTGAGAGATAAAAAGACATGCCCAAGGTCAGTGGCAGAGTCAGGGACAGAACCAGGGCCAGTGCAACCACTAGGTGAGCTAGCTGGTTGCCTAGGGCACCAAGTGGTTGGGGGCGCCAAAAAGCGGTACCCTGGCTCGGCAGGGAGGAGCTGCCTTCTGGAGGCACCGGAGAGCCAGAGCATTGGCTTGCGGGGGCGGCGAGCCCCAGCCATGGGTGAGCTGGCGTGACTCAGGGGGCAGCAGCCCTGCAAAGGCGGTAGCGCAGCTAGCGGGGCACATCCGCACCCCCAGCCCCTCCTGCCTAGGCTGTGGCCCAGCACCCCTCCCGGGGGGGGGGGGCTCCTGCAGGCAGGAGCGGGGTCGGGGCAGGCAGGGAGCGGGGGGGGTGGATGGGTTGGGAGTTCTCGGGGGGACTGTCAGAGGGCGGGGGTGTGGAGAGGGGTTGGGGTAGGCAGGCAACAGGGAGCACAGGGGCCACCAGGGTGGGATGGGGAGGGGAGGGCTTGAGGGGGGCTGTGCACCCTCCAGGAGACTTCAGGGGGTGGGGAGGGGGGAACCTGGCCTGGGGAGCAGCCCCTGGGCACAGCTGGCCCCTGGGCAGGCTGGCCCTGGAGGTCTATAAAGGCTCGTTGGGATTTGCCCCTCAATGAACCAATGTGCAGGGGAGGGGGGGCGCAAGGTGGAAGTTTCACCTAGGGCGCAAAATATCCTTGCACGGGCCCTGGACAGAACCCAGGATTCCTGACTTAGTCCAGTGCCCTATCCCTGGACCATGCTGACATGATGTATGAATTAATTTTTAAAAAGGCTAAATTTTTAGCCAAAAATTACAAACATAGGGATATACATAAGGAATATGTATTCCAGTCCCTGGGCTTTGTTCACTATTAACAATAATAAATAGATAATAAACTGAACCCCAAGGATACCCCTGACTACCTTTGCCATTCCAGTAGTCTCAGATAAACCAGATCCTCTGGGAAGCAACGGTGGTAAATCCCAACTTGAGCTGGACAGCCGTAACAAAGACAGCTTGACTTTTACAGGGCGAGGCAGCCCTGCTTCTATACTCAATTCTGTTTGGATGGCCCCTGTGCCTTCATATATCTGATTGCAACATTGAAGGGGGGAGGGAGGAGGGAAGGCAAGAGAGGGGGAAGCTAATTCATTAGAATTTTTAGTTTAATTCTGAAGCAGCTTTTTTAAGGTGTTTCAGAAACACAGTATGGATGTTAGGTACACTATAAACTTTTTATTGCTACTTGTTAGGGAGATTTTTCCAAACACCAGCTTGCAGCACACTGACTTTGACTTTTATAGCACAGCATCACGCCCTCGTGCAAGCATGTACAGTAGCTGATAATTGAATTTTGTGTGCATACAGACTGGTCAATCCTTTGTCTGCACCCAGATATTGTGTATGTGCTCCTTTTATGATTGGGATTAGTGATGATGAGCACAATTCGCTGTTTTGGGGGGGGAAGGTTCTGACAGGCTATAGGGAACATGAGTGCTTCTCCCAGTGAACAAGAGTATTTTAAAGTCTTCCTATGGGAATGGCTGTTCCATGTCATTGCAGAGTTGGGGTTGGTATACAGCAAATACTCTATTCTCTCCTCGCTCTTTTACTTGTCTTTACATTATAAATACTTCAGGACCCTGACCTAAAGCTGTACAAAGCCCTGACATTTACAGAACTGTATAAATGCTTACTACCAACATTAGTTTTCAGTGAAGGATTTGTCCATACCAAGTTGGAGGCTTTAAACATCAATTATTTTTACTGTAGCTCTGTTTTTGGATGTATGGGTTTTTGTTTTTTTTAATGAGAATGGTGTTTACTTTTCATACTTACATAACTCAAATTGCTGAAAAGAATTTGCTCAAATTTAAACCAACAAAGCACATTTAGGCAGACCTCAAGGATGGACATGGACAAGTTCAACCCCAAAAGGTGAATGTTATGAGCATGTAAGAACAGGGGTTTAAATGAAAAATATTCTGCCATTTTATCTTTAGCAGGCAAATACACATATGTTTAATGGGACTACTCACAGTGTATAAAGTTAAAGGTGTGCTTAAGCCTTTGCAGGCCTGGAGCCATATATTGTATTTCAGATACCTGTACAGTGATCATCTGTAAACTGTTAAAACTTAAACAAGTAACTTTTAAAAAGGGCTTCTTATGGGAGAGGGAAGCAAAAGTGGAAGAGGAGAACCTGACATCACACAAATGTGACTCAAGGACATTTTAAAATGCATGCAGTGATATGTAAGAGGTGTCTGTCTACACCAGCTAGCAGGTGTTCTCTTTTATGTTCTCCTCATAGATGTAGCTTGTAATAAAACTTTGTGTACACACACATACTTTCTGTTTTAAAGTTTCATGGTTTATATTCACCCCCTCAACATTTACATTTTTCCATGAAAAATCCTCTTTAATCTTCTTTGCTTAACTAAATCCTTGCCTATTTTTAAGTATATTAAAACACCTGTGTCACAGAGGCAGGTGTATTATCCACCTTCTGCAGCTGGAGAAACTGAGGCAGCAGCAGCCACCCCTGATTCCCCCTCTACCTAGTCTGCCCCTCACCACCCTTCTTCCCGCCCCACCCCATGTGACTGGGGACTGGTTTTTCCTTTTGAGAAGAGGGATTTAGTGGGGATCCCTGGCGTGAAAAGGCTCAGCCATGGGCTTGTCGCAACGTTGCAATCAGCGGGACGTTTCCAGCCCCTGAGCCTCGCATTACCCCGCTCAGCATTTCAGGCCGGTGGCCACGGCAGGGACCCTTTCTGCTGAGGGCTCAGCTGCCCCCCCCCGCCAACCTTTCCTGGAGTAGGTGAGACCGTCCACGCTCCACGCCGCCCGGCTGCCTCCCGCAGAGCCTCGAGCTCCGCCGGGGCTGGTGAGGGCGGGAGAGGGGGAAACAGACCCGACCCCTTCTCACCGCCCCCCTCCATGGGCGGGCCCCGGGGACCAGACTGGATGGCTCCTGCGTCAGTCAGCGGGCAGGGCACGTCCCCTGAGGGGGGCGGGAGGGGGGTGTCACACCGCCTCCTGCCCGGGCTGCCGAGCTTGTGCCGGGAGGTTGCGGGCGCCGCCGCTGCTGCTCCGAGCCAGAGCCATGCGGGTAGGAGCGCGCCCCGGGCTGCTGCTGCCGGCAACAAGGCGTGTGGGGCGGGCGCCTGTCTCAGCCCGGGCGGGACAACAGGCCGGCTTCAGCCCGGCGTCTCGAGGGAAGGGGCGGTGGGACGAGGAGGCGCTGAGCCCCGGGAGCCGGCGGGCCCGTGGCGAGCGGGGCTGCCCGGTGTCACACGGCGTCTCTGTTTGCTTCCAGGAGGCGGGCGGCAGCCTGTGCCTGGCGCTCCTGCTCCCGGCGCTGCTCGGCTTGGAGTTCAGCTATCACCGCAGCGAGCAGCTGGGGACGTTCCTGGAGGAGGTGCACCGGCGGCACCCCTCCATCACCGCCCTGCACAGCGTCGGGCGGTCCGTGGCAGGTAGGCTGCTGCGGGGCAAGCTCCGGAGCCGCTGGAGACCGGGGGTGGGGGGGGGGAAGGTGTCTGTTTGTTATAAAGTATTTGAAGAGCAGCTAAAATAAAAAGTCAGACGGTGTAAAGATGTTTATCCGCATGTTAATTCATTAACCTATGACGAATGGCTAGTGGGGAAACCCACGTCTGATCTAACTGCGCCTTGATTTATGACTTCTAGCCAAAAACGATATAATTCTCAACTCAGTATTTTGTGCCTGGGAGCAGATGCTTTGATATTTGACATACTCAGGTAGTTGATTGCGATACAAGTAGAGGGCTTGGCGACTGCTCTATTTCTGTAGTTCCTAGCATCGGTCTACTTACATTTGCCCCTTCAGGGATTTGTGTGTGTTTTAAATTTAGATTGCTGTCTCTCAAACTGTAGTAACAAACCTACTGAATGCAACATTTAGTTATATTAAACCACAATGTAACTTATCCTTTGAAATAGGGCTCTGAAGTTAGACAGTTCCAGGGCTACAACTTCAAAAATGTAGCTGATTTCAATATTTTTTAAATGGGTGTAAGATGTCCAACTTACTAAAAGTCCAAGCCAGTCACAATGATATTGTAATGTGTATTTTCTAATTTATGGATAACTTTAAAAGATATATAGTCTTCCTGGATTCACCCACTATTCCAACAAGTACAAGTAAAAAGTACTTTGGTGCTGAAATCAAGACTATTGTGTCCCTCATTTAACACCAACTCTCAAGCTCTTTGGGAAAATATAGGGTATGTCTACACTATGAAATTAGGTCAAATTTATAGAAGTCAGTTTTTTAGAAATCGGTTTTATATATTCGAGTGTGTGTGTCCCCACAGAAAATGCTCTAAGTGCATTAAGTGCATTAACTTGGCGGAGTGCTTGGACAGTACCGAGGCAGGCATCGACTTCCAGAGTGTTGCATTGTGGGTAGCTATCCCACAGTTCCTGCAGTCTCCGCTGCCCATTGGAATTCTGGTGTAAGATCCCAATGCCTGATGGGGCTAAAATATTGTCGCGGTGGTTCTGGGTACATATCGTCAGGTCCCCGTTCCCTCCCTCCCTCCGTGAAAGCAAGGGCAGACAATTGTTTTGCACCTTTTTCCTTGAGTTACCTGTGCAGACGCCATACCAAGGCAAGCATGGAGGCCACTCAGCTCACTTTGGCAATTAGGAGCACATTAAACACCACACGCGTTATCCAGCAGTATATGCAGCACCAGAACCTGGCAAAGCGATACCGGGTGAGGAGGTGACATCAGCGCAGTCACGTGAGTGATCAGGACATGGATGCAGGTTTCTCTCAAAGCATGGGCCCTGCCAATGCATGCATCATGGTGCTAATGGGGCAGGTTCATGCTGTGGAACGCCGATTCTGGGCTCAGGAAACAAGCACAGACTGGTGGGACCGCATAGTGTTGCAGGTCTGGGACGATTCCCAGTGGCTGCGAAACTTTCGCATGCGTAAGGGCACTTTCATGGAACTTTGTGACTTGCTTTCCCCTGCCCTGAGGTGCCAGAATACCAAGAAGAGAGCAGCCCTCACAGTTGAGAAGCGAGCGGCAATAGCCCTGTGGAAGCTTGCAATGCCAGACAGCTACCGGTCAGTCCGGAATCAATTTGGAGTGGGCAAATCTACTGTTGGGGCTGCTGTGATGCAAGTAGCCCACGCAATCAAAGATCTGCTGATATCAAGGGTAGTGACCCTGGGAAATGTGCAGGTCATAGTGGATGGCTTTGCTGCAATGGGATTCCCTAACTGTGGTGGGGCCATAGACGGAACCCATATCCCTATCTTGGCACTGGAGCACCAAGACGACGAGTACATAAACCACAAGGGGTACTTTTCAATAGTGCTGCAAGCTCTGGTGGATCACAAGGGACGTTCCACCAACATCAACGTGGGATGGCAGGGAAAGGTACATGACGTTCGCATCTTCAGGAACTCTGGTCTGTTTCAAAAGCTGCAGGGAGGGACTTTATTCCCAGACCAGAAAATAACTGCTGGGGATGTTGAAATGCCTATAGTTATCTTTGGGGACCCAGCCTACCCCTTCATGCCGTGGCTCATGAAGCCGTACACAGGCAGCCTGGACAGTAGTCAGGAGCTGTTCAACTACAGGTTGAGCAAGTGCAGAATGGAGGTAGAATGTGCATTTGGATGTTTAAAGGCGCGCTGGCGCAGTTTACTGACTCGCTTAGACCTCAGCGAAACCAATATTCCCACTGTTATTACTGCTTGCTGTGCGCTCCACAATATCTGTGAGAGAAAGGGGGAGACGTTTATGGCGGGGTGGGAGGTTGAGGCAAATCACCTGGCTGCTGGTTATGCGCAGCCAGACACCAGGGCGGTTAGAAGAGCACAGGAGGGCGCAGTACGCATCAGAGAAGCTTTGAAAATCAGTTTCATGACTGGCCAGGCTACGGTGTGAAAGTTGTCTTTGTTTCTCCTTGATGAAACCTCTCGCCCCTTGGTTCACTCTACTTCCCTGTAAGCTAACTACCCTCCCCTCCTCCCTTCGATCACCGCTTGCAGAGGCAATAAAGTCATTGTTGCTTCACATTCACGCATTCTTTATTAATTCATCACACAAATAGGGGGATGACTACCAAGGTAGCCCAGGAGGGGGGTGGAGGAGGGAAGGAAAATGCCACACAGCACTTTAAAAGTTTACAACTTTAAAATTTATTGAATGCCAGCCTTCTTTTTTTGGGGCAATCCTCTGTGGCAGAGTGGCTGGTTGGCCGGAGGCCCCCCCCACCGCATTCTTGGGCGTCTGGGTGTGGAGGCTATGGAACCTGGGGAGGTGGGTGGTTGGTTACAAGGGGCTCTAGTGGCAGTCTGTGCTCCAGCTGCCTTTGCTGCAGCTCAACCATACACTGGAGCATACTGGTTTGATCCTCCAGCAGCCTCAGCATTGAATCCTGCCTCCTCTCATCACGCTGCCGCCACATTTGAGCTTCAGCCCTGTCTTCAGCCTGCCACTTACTCTCTTCAGCCCGCCACCTCTCCTCCCAGTCATTTTGTGCTTTCCTGCACTCTGACATTATTTGCCTCAACGCATTCGTCTGTGCTCTGTCAGTGTGGGAGGACAGCGTGAGCTCAGAGAACATTTCATCATGAGTGCGTTTTTTTTTCTTTCTAATCTTCACTAGCCTCTGGGAAGGAGAAGATCCTGTGATCATTGAAACACATGCAGCTGGTGGAGAAAAAAAAAGGGACAGCGGTATTTAAAAAGACACATTTTATAAAACAGTGGCTACACTCTTTCAGGGTAAACCTTGCTGTTAACATTACATACATAGCACATGTGCTTTCGTTACAAGGTCGCATTTTGCCTCCCTCCACTGTGTGGCTACCCCCTCAACCCTCCTGCCTCCCCGTGGCTAACAGCGGGGAACATTTCTGTTCAGCCACAGGCAAACAGCCCAGGAGGAACGGGCACCTCTGAGTGTCCCCTGAAGAAAAGCACTCTATTTCAACCAGGTGACCATGAATTATATCTCACTCTCCTGAGGATAACACAGAGAGATAAAGAACAGATGTAGTTTGAACACCAGCAAACATACACTGCAATGCTTTGTTGTACAATGATTCCCGAGTACGTGCTACTGGCCTGGAGTGGTAAAGTGTCCTACCATGGAGGATGCAATAAGACTGCCCTCCCCAGAAACCTTTTGCAAAGGCTTTGGGAGTACATCCAGGAGAGCCGCGAATGCCAGGGCAAATTAATCCTTTCACACGCTTGCTTTTAAACCATGTATAGTATTTTAAAAGGTACACTCACCGGAGGTCCCTTCTCCGCCTGCTGGGTCCAGGAGGCAGCCTTGGGTGGGTTCGGGGGGGTACTGGCTCAGTCCAGGGTGAGAAACAGTTCCTGGCTGTTGGGAAAACCGATTTCTCCGCTTGCTTGCTGTGAGCTATCTACAACCTCCTCCTCATCATCATCTTCTTCGTCCCCAAAACCTGCTTCCGTGTTGCCTCCATCTCCATTGAAGGAGTCAAACAACACGGCTGGGGTAGTGGTGGCTGAACCCCCTAAAATGGCATGCAGCTCATCATAGAAGCGGCATGTTTGGGGCTCTGACCCGGAGCGGCTGTTCGCCTCTCTGGTTTTCTGGTAGGCTTGCCTCAGCTCCTTAAATTTCACACGGCACTGCTTCGGGTCCCTGTTATGGCCTCTGTCCTTCATGCCCTGGGAGATTTTGACAAAGGTTTTGGCATTTCGAAAACTGGAACGTAGTTCTGATAGCACGGATTCCTCTCCCCATACAGTGATCAGATCCCGTACCTCCCGTTCGGTCCATGCTGGAGCTCTTTTGCGATTCTGGGACTCCATCATGGTCACCTCTGCTGATGAGCTCTGCATGGTCACCTGTAGCTCGCCACGCTGGCCAAACAGGAAATGAGATTCAAAAGTTCGCGGTTCTTTTCCTGTCTACCTGGCCAGTGCATCTGAGTTGAGAGCACTGTCCAGAGCGGTCACAATGGAGCACTCTGGGATAGCTCCTGGAGGCCAATACCGTCAAACTGTGTCCACAGTACCCCAAATTTGACCCAGTAAGGCTGATTTAAGCACTATTCCCCTTGTCGGGGGTGGAGTAAGGAAATCGATTTTAAGAGCCCTTTAAGTAGGAAAAAAAAGGCTTCTTCGTGTGGACGGGTGCAGGTTTACATCGATTTAACGCTGCTAAATTCGACCTAAAGTCCTAGTGTAGACCAAGGCTTTGCCAGTTATAGCTTGAGGCTTCTGCCTTTATGTAGAAATATTAGTTTGATTTATCTTTTAGATTTCAGCGCTTTATAAGATACACACAGATGTGCCTGGATTTTTTTATTTAAAGAAATTTAAAAATCCAATTTAATAAGGACATTAGTGTACACCTACATTTATGCATGTCTTGTCAAGTGTTCTGAAAAGAAATTTATGTACGTACAGTACTTTTCATTTGATCATGGAACAAGAAATTATTCTAA